TAAAAAAAAGATTGTTTACAGACCCCCGAAACGCCGGCTTCGTGTGGATGAGAGGCTGGTTTGGTGAAAAATTTGTGCGTTTAGGCCAGGATTCGTCTTCGTGTGGACGGGGCCTCAGGCCCCGTCCACACTGAAGTCTGTACACCAGACTTCAGTCACCTCATCAAGTGAGTCCAATCTGAACATGATGACTTGATGAGATGAATGGAGTCTGGTGTGCTATTGCTTGGTTGAAAAGAACACCTGCAGCCACACGTCCCTTTCTGGAACCAGTTTGAAACCCCTGCTCTAGAAGAGGGGAGAGAGGATAGTATGTTGACAATTCAGCCCAGGGTTTTATTCTGGACTTTCTCTTGCCCTTCCACTTAATTTTCACAAGATGGCAGTGTTGTCATTTCAAGAAACATTCATAGGAAAGCAACTCCTGCTGACATGTGTTATATCTTTTTTAAAGCACTTATATTTATGAACCATTAACTTGCTGTGAATAATCGAAACATTTTTCTAAATGTATAATCCATAGAACAAATGACCCCCCAACCAGGGAGGGATCAATTCAATTGAATAAAATTTATTTCTATAGCACCAATTCACAACACGTCATCTCAACGCACTTTACAGTTCACTAGATCATACAGTCAAATTGATTCAAAGTTTTCTATCTAAAGAAAACCAGTTGATTGCACTGACTCATTTACTTGATGTGCAATCCCTCACACTAAGCATGCTTGTAGCGACAGTGGAGAGGAAAAACTCCCTTTTAACAGGAAGAAACCTCCAGCAGAACCAGGCTCAGCGTGAGCGGCCATCTGCTGAGGCCGACTGGGGTTCAAGGAGACAGAAGCATAGATAGCATAGAGATACAAAAAGCAACTAAAAAAGGCGGCCCGGTCCAGGAAACACACATCCAGGCAGACGAGCTCCAAGGCAGCTCCCATGTCAGAGGATGAAGAGAGCACATCCAGCCAGTCACAGTCAGAGAAACAGGAACACACTGGAAAACAGGCCGATCTCCAACATCTATAAACAAGGGTGTTGATGGCTGCAGCATAGCTGATATTTCTCTCCAGGATGGAGTCACAGCCAAACACGGTCCAGGATTTTTCAAAGGAGGTTGCTCCCTTAAGGGTAATGTCAAGCCAACGTAAAGCTAAACGATTAGATTGGTGCTGATTGTGGTTCATCATGGTCATTTATACAGCACCTAGTTATTGGTAAAGAAGCACTTTAAATAATTTTTAAATGTTATGAGACAGACTTTTAAAGATATTTGGACTTGGATATCAATTTTAAGATATATATAATTTTAATCTACATATTACAATATCCCAACAATTTTTAAAATATTTTGTTAAAAAAGGAAATCAATTTGCAATAATAAATATTGTTGATGCTCGAGTAAGTAAAGTAAAAATGCAATTATTGAAAATGATGAAAATTTTATTGAGCTTCTAAAGTGAAGAAATGTTTTAAAACGTAAATATGTTGTTCCGTATGCATCAACACACATTCGTCACATGGAGGTGGTGTTGTTCTTTTTATCAGTATATACCATGTTGAAAGGAGAGGCTTTCACCTAAAGGCAAACATTTCATAATGAGCATGTTTGTTGTTTTTTTTTTAAAGCTACGACTTAAAACATCTAAAAGGATATTATGTTTGTTTTTTACCTTCAGGAGCATCGTATCATTTGTGTTTGAAATGTTGCAATAATTTTCATGAGAAATTGTTTTATCCACACTGTCTGTACTTTATCATCAACACCAGGAAAATTATGTATTCACTATAATTGCTGGCATGAGACAGCATAAAGATAATAAGTACAATACAGTTATTTTAACATACGTGGTGATTGCATATACAGGTGCTGGTCATAAAATTAGAATATCATGAAAAAATAGATTGATTTCAGTAATTCCATTTAAAAAGTGAAACTTGTATATTATATTCATACATTACATACAAACTCATATATTTCAGATGTTTATTTTGTTTAATTTTGATGATTACAAATGACAACAAATGAAAATCTCAAATTCATCATATCAGAAAATTAGAATATTACTGAAGACCAATAAAAACAAAGGATTTATAGAAATGTTGGCCAACTGAAAAGTATGAACATGAAAAGTATGAGCATGTACAGCACTCAGTATTTAGTTGGGCCTCCTTTGGCCTGTATTACTGCAGCAATGCGGCGTGGCATGGAGTCGATCAGTCTGTGGCACTGCTCAGGTGTTATGATAGACCAGGTTGCTCTAATAGTGGCTTTTAGCTCTTCTGAATTGTTGGGTCTGGTGTATTGCATCTTCTTCTTCACAATACCCCATAGATTTTCTATGGGGTTAAGGTCAGGAGAGTTTGCTGGCCAATTAAGAACAGGGATACCATGGTCCTTCAACCAGGTACTGGTAGCTTTGGCACTGTGTGCAGGTGCCAAGTCCTGTTGGAAAATGAAATCTGCATCTCCAAAAAGTTGGTCAGCTGCAGGAAGCATGAAGTGCTCTAAAACTTCCTGGTATGTGGCTGCGTTGACCCTGGACCTCAGAAAACACAATGGACCAACACCAGCAGATGACATGGCACCCCAAACCATCACTGACTATGGAAACTTTACACTGGACTTCAAGCAAAGTGGATGAAGTGCCTCTCTTCTTTTCCTCCAGACTCTGGGACCTTGATTTCCAAAGGAAATGCAAAATTTACTTTCATCAGAGAACATGACTTTGGACCACTCACCAGCAGTCCAGTCCTGTTTCTCTTTAGCCCAGGCAAGACGCTTCTGACGCTGTCTGTGGTTCAAGAGTGGCTTGACACAAGGAATGCGACAGCAGAAACCCATGTCTTTCATACGTCTGTGTGTGGTGGTTCTTGAAGCACTCACTCCAGCTGCAGTCCACTCTTTGTGAATCTCCCCCACATTTTTGAATGGGTTTTGTTTCACAATCCTCTCCAGGGTGCGGTTATCTTTCTTGCTTGTACACTTTTTTCGACCACATCTTTTCCTTCCCTTCGCCTCTCTATTAATGTGCTTGGACACTGAGCTCTGTGAACAGCCAGCCTCTTTAGCGATGACCTTTTGTGTCTTGCCCTCCTTGTGCAAGGTGTCGATGGTCGTCTTTTGGACAACTGTCAAGTCAGCAGTCTTCCCCATGATTGTGTAGCCTATAGAACTAGACTGAAAGACCATTTAAAGGCTTTTGCAGGTGGTTTGAGTTAATTAGCTGATTAGAGTGTGGCACCAGGGGCCATCAATTTTGAACCTTTTCACAATATTCTAATTTTCTGATATGATGAATTTGAGATTTTCATTTGTTGTCATTTGTAATCATCAAAATTAAACAAAATAAACATCTGAAATATATGAGTTTGTATGTAATGTATGAATATAATATACAAGTTTCACTTTTTAAATGGAATTACTGAAATCAATCTACTTTTTCATGATATTCTAATTTTATGACCAGCACCTGTATAGCTAAACAACTGCAAACTATTGTTACAAATCAAAATGAAAATATTATTAACAGACAAAGCTTGGCAGCAAGCAGTAGTCATTGTAAATGGTCTATACTTATAGAGCGCTTGACCAATGCGCTTTACATTGCATTCAGTCATTCACCCATTCACACACACACTGATGATGGCAAGCTACATTGTAGCCACAGCTGCCCTGAAGCTAGGCTGCCATACACTGGCGCCACCATCAGTAGGCAATGCGGTTGAAGAGTCTTGCCCAAGGACACACCGTCAACCTTTTAATTTCAGGGCAAATTCCCAAATCCAACACGACTGTCGCCCAATAACAAAATCTGAGTGCAAGCGAGAGCCAAAAGTGGTATCTGGCTTGTCAGTTTTGAAAAATGGTATATGCAGTTTCCCAACAGGCATATGCTGTTTTTTAACTGGCATATGCCACTTATGGCTGCGGCTGCAAAATCTGGCTGAGAAGGAATCCATCACAGCACATTGTTTCATTCATTTTCTGAAGGCCATAAAAAGCTGGCTGTGTGGCACAGCCTCGTAGCCTCTATTCATTCTTCTTCTTTGACATAGGGGGAATATTAGAGATGGAACCTAGATATGAAGATTGAATAAAGCAAACACCACACCCTTCCTCACAGGCTGACTCTTAATAACCTGAATTTAAATATATATAAAGAGAACCTTACAATATGAAAATATTTGTGCTCTATTTCTGAATAAGCTTTAACTAAAGTTTCATTAAAATAGTTCAAGGATTTGAATAAACCTGTTAAAATGATCTCTTATAAGCAGTTTAGATATATGAAGGTTATAACAAGCATATTCTATTCTTATACTCGTGGTCCTCCTCTCATCTGGGATCGGGTTGTGGGGGCAGCTCTTAGCAGGAACGTCCAGAGACTCCCCTCTCTACAGAAGCAAGAGTGAAGTCTCCCCCACGTCCACTGGGAGAAGCACAAGGCGGTTACAGGACCAGCCTAGAGACCTAGTCCCTCCAGAGTGTCTTTTCACATTTATTGATTAAAAAGTGCTTATGACAGAACATTTTTTCCCCATTTAATTTTTTTGTTTTAAGGCTAGTTAATATGGCCTTTTTTTAGTAGAGGGCAGACAGAAAGCAGGAACAGAGAGAGGAGGAAGACATTTGGCTGAACCTGCGACGCATCAAGACCAAAGTTTCGGTGCATGATTCATGCGTTTAACCCCTGCATCACTGTCGCACACACCATTGAAGCCTTTTTAATTAGGAATAGGAAGGAAGGAAGGCCAGCGGTTTCAGAAATGCTGTACACTGTTGGTTTTCAAAAGTTGCCACAGAAACTAGTGCAGAAAGACTTAATGAGTTGTTTCCCTCTTCAATTTCACTTTTCTTTGTTTACCTTTCAAATTTGTGATCAAGTGTAACAATACTCATGCATTTCACAGCTGTGTGGTTTTTCTTGTTTTTATTGTAAATGTAGGAAACATTTATTTTAGTATATTTAAGTCAATTAACAGATTATTTAATTTAACAGCAGTAACCAGAACGATATTAATAATGATCCCAATCTATTCATAAGATAATCAGAATTGAACTGGTTGTAGGTTTGTTTATAACACATAATTCTTACTCTTGCTAATCAGTATAGAACAGGCCTAAAAGACAGCAAGGATAGATTCAACTTAATGGTCAATAATTTAGATTTTTTTTTTTTTTGGTCATAAATCTAATTTCCGGAAGTGTGGTAAGTTTATTAATAACTTTTGAATCTTCAAATGAAGCAGTATTGTGTTTTAGTTTTAGTTCACTGTGAAAACAAAAGCATACAAAACAAACAACATAGTGTATATTTATTTTCACTGATTTTTGCTCATGATGAAGAACAGAAATATAAACAAGTAAATTGTATCACTTGTTGTTAGGCCAAGTATTTTGGCCTAAATACCACTCAGTTATTTGGCAGATAAATGTGAAGGCCCAATGAAACCCCGTAGCATGTATATGATTATTTTGCTTTAGCTGCTTTTACAGTGGAGATGATCCAGCCTTTGTAGTCAGGTATTCGGGCATATCTATACAGACGGGGCTCATTTGCGTGTGGCTTCAACATAGTCGACACCACTCCATAAGCTAGTCCTGGTTCACAAACCAACGGACCGCCAGAGTCTCCCTAAAAGATAAAAAAAAATATGAATGAGGATTTCTGAAAGCATAATATGAGCTAATTTCTTAATAGTCATAAAAAGTCAAAGATACATACTTCATTTGGTCCATTCTTTCCCTGTGAGCAGTATGAGTTTTCCTTTTTGCAGGTTTCATTTTTAATCAATGTTATATTGATTTCCATGAGTAATGGGGAAAGGTAGCCATTGTCCTCTGTTTTACCCCAGCCGGAGACACTACATGACTTTGGCAGAGCCTCAGCATCGTTGCTTGCCAAATTAATGGGTTTCACATTACTGCTAAAGTTTGCCTTGGAGCTCAGCTTTAAGACCAACATAAAATACATAGAAATATAAACACAATTAGGAATTGTTTTGTGTTTATTTTAGCTAATGTAGCATGGTAGCCTATTTTAACCAGACCCTTTGCAACTGACACAAGAAATGGACAATAGCATAAATGCAAGGTGTAGATCTCATCTCACCTTAAGTAGCATGATATCATTGATATATGTGTTACTGTTGAAATGCGAATGAGGAAATGCTTGCTCCACAGTAATGCGCTCCGCATTGTCCTTATTATCCACATCGTGAAGCCCAAGATAAATTAAGTATTCCCTGTAATGGAAAAAGAAAATGTTTTATTTGCAAATGAAATCACAGCATTATTTAGAAAATTAAAACAAAGAGTATTAAACTGACTTGGCTTTACAATGGGCAGCTGTCATTACAAAGTCCTCATTCAAAAGGAATCCCCCACAGTTGATTATATCTCCATTCGGCATGGTTCTCTCCACCAGCACCATGTACGGCCTGCTGTGTGGCACAACCACGTGGCCTCCAGTGATTTTTCCTGGATAAACTGCGGAAAATCTAAAGATGAATATTCAAAAGCCATCCTTTCCTGTTACGAGTGTCATAGCTGCAGCACAAAGCATCTTCTCTAACAACCCCATGAAAATAAAATAGTACATTTTAAGGTTTTTACATGTTTGTCAAGTGTTTTGGATTTTTTTTTTTTTATTTAAGGGTAATATTTGTTAATAATATCTGAGGATTGATTTGTAGATTTTATAAACCTTAAGTGGATCTAAATTATTTTATAAACTCAAACCTGTTTACATTTAACACTTTAAATGGTTTATCTGTAATCAATTGATTTTAAAGAAAATCCTTACCTGGACCACAAGAACTTAGCAAAAGCAACAGCACTGCCGCTTTTTCGTGTGACAGCATGACAGGATCCCAGTCTAGAGGAGCGACAGCTCTGAGCAGCTGAGACAGATTGCTCCGACAGCTTATCTTCTCTCCTTCCTGCTTTATAGACAGAAAAAGGTTTCACGTTGGTTATGTAAATGACGTGGTTTTCAACGACATTTTTAAGTAATGGTGTTATGTAAAAGCCTTGATGATTGATACTCAAAGCAAACTTTTTAGGTATTATTTTAATTATTCTAATGGTGGGATGCAAATATCACTTTGCATAGACTAGCTTAGATGGTGCAAAAACTATATAAAGTGGCACTTATTTAATAAGATTTTGTTCTGTGCAGTCTAAAATATAATTTTATTAATGAAGTTAGTAAAAATAACCAGTCCAACTTGGCTGTAAATGAACAAAAAATAAAGTGAATAAAATGAGGCACCACAATCAACAACATTGTTTTTGAGTTGTTAAGAACTGATAAGGAAGGTTTAAACAAAATGTGGAGGTATTTCATCCCATTTCTCTTTAATTCTGCCAGATTGGAGAGTTTCTGAGCATTAACTGTCTGTGATCATTCCAGATTTTGACTAGGACTCTGAAAAATCTATTTAATGCTTGACCTTCTTATTTAATTCCATTATTATATAACAAGCAGAATGTGTGCTTCCATCAATTAAGCCAATCAGCTATGCTACAGCTACACAGTTTTGTTTTTTTGTGTATTTATGGCACTAGTGGCTTGTTTTGTGGCAGTAGGCTGACAGGAAAGGGGGTATGAGAGAGGGGGGAGAGACATGCTGGAAAGGATCCGCGTCGAGGACTAAGGCCTCCATACATGGGTTGTGTGCACTAACCACTGCTCCACCTGCACGCCCGTTGATATGCTATTTTTTTTTTCTAAAATGCTATTTCTATAACCCCAGAAGAAACAGTTTAGACAACTTATAAAAAACAAAAACATCTCAACTCATTTGAATGAGTTCACAGAAAACATTCTGTGAAGATACTGAGATGTTTACGTATTTGGTGAATCTGACACAGGCTCTTGTGTTCTTTTCAGGTCAGAAAAGGTTTTTCTTTGAAGATATAAATGTTGTTTTCTTTATGTCAGAAATAAATGGTTTTAGGCAAGATACTTTTTCTTTTATTTTTTTTAAATGTATTTTCTAAGCATTTCAGACAAACCATTGGGAGCAGTTACCTGCATGCTCCAGGAAGGGTTTGTAAAAAACAAACAAACAAAAAAAAACATCTGAAATAGGGTCATCATGATACTACCATTTTTTATGTCATGGGATATTAAAACATGACAAATTTTTAAAGGCATTAAAATATTTTCATTATAATGAAAAACTCACCTTTCCAATCTCCACATGCAACATGTATTCTAAACAGAATCACAGATGCTGGTTAAAGACCTGTGAAAATAAACTAAAAATTACCCAAATACAAGACAATTTGAAGATTTTTTTTTTTTTTTTTTTACATAATCTGTCTTGTTATTCTTTGAAGTTGCAAATAAACCAGAAATATAAAATGAACAGTAGAAAAATAGGGAAAGAATACCTGTTTGCAGTATTGGTACCATGCAAAATCAGTATTTCATCCAGATACAGTGTTAGACTATCAATACTTTCTGAGTATTTTTCGTGGACAGGATCCTAATTGTGTGAATGACTTCATAAAACTCTGATTCAATCCAGGGTCAAAGTATAAAGGCCTTAATAAGTAATCATAAACCTGAGTTTGGATGACTTACACCGACTGTATGTTAACATGTGATTTGACTGTTGAAATGAGTATTTTCAGTGATTGCGTCTAGGTGAATTCATCACTTAGAGGTGCAGAAATTTGTGTGAAAAGCAGTAAAAGTGTCCACATCCCATAGCATAGTAAAGGAGAGGTGGATCCGACCTCGTAAATAAACACAAAGTAAATTTAGGTCTATGTGCTATAATTAAGTGGTGCTTTTTTACTACTTCAGGACAAGCATGAGGGGAAATACTAAAAACTCTTTCCAAAAACAGTCAAACACGCACCCATCAGTGAGGGTTCCAGAAGTGTGCAATGAGATTCAAAACTCTGCACACTTGTAATCTGATTTTTACACACATGCAGTTTTGTCTGTGTGTATCAGGCAAGCTTTGCAAACAGATTTCATGATTTCTATCTACAGTAGTTACTGCCTGCGTGTAAATTTAGTACTTGCATTTATCTTATTTATTTGTATTTGCATTTGTGCACAAAATTTGCAATACCCATGTTATTTACAGAATTTAATGTAGGATTTAATCCCATTCAGTTGATTTATATAGCACCAATTAATATCATCTTATTTTACAGAGATAATTCGATCATATCATACATTCAGATTGCTAAAAAGAACCACTTATCCATAATTATTTTCTATTTTTACATATCCAAATTGTTTTACAAATTCAAATACCCAAAGCTAAACATAAATAGGTTTACACTGTTTAAAAAATCTAGTAATACCTACTCAGAGATTTATTGGGCCTCGTGCAACTCACTGTATTCTTTTCAAAACTTTCTCTTACTTTTTTCTACCCGTGGGTAGCTTTATTTTTAGAGTATTCTTGGGTGAATCATCAATCACTTTTGTGGGGGGTTTCATATAAAGCTTCTCTCAGATTGTTTCTGCCACATCAAAAAGTCTGCCACATCAAATTCAACAAAAGTTCTCAACTTCAGAAAAGCTCTTAAGAGACCACGAACATCTCATGCCCATGGAGTAAGCGCAAGCTCATGAGAACCTCAAATAATTACCGCCCTCGTAATTCCATGTAAGGAGACGGAAGTTCTGCTGAATGAGAGCTGAGCAGCCAAGTTGAGGAATCAGCGAAAGCCAAGCAGTAAAATAATTCACAGGAGCTGTAAATACTACTCCTGTTGCACTGTTACAGGTGTAAAAATAGCAATGATCTGAAAATAGTGCCAAAGACATGTCTTACAAAAGCAAGAGAGCCAATGAAAACTACTGCTTGAGGTAAGAGGTGCAACATTTGATGTAGAAGCCTAATTTCAGTTTGCCATTAACCATCATGACTCAAAATGTCCATGCAAACGTGTACATTTCCAGCTATTGACCACGTTCTTCATCTCCATCTCTCTCATAAAAGAAACAAACATAAAAATGTTCATGGAGAAACTCTAATTTGACAATTTCAGACCCAAACATCCCAAGGCGGTGCCATAAAGTCAATTAAACGCAAGTCGGTCTCAAGCAGCAATACGTTGCTGAACTTCCTTCCTGAACTTTCATCCATTTTCTGTTCCAGATGTAGTATCTTAATATTAAATAGGCACTGACTGTTCTTTCTTTGGACGAAATCACAACATTCAAACCAGAGTCCCCTGGATGCCGACAGGCCAACTGCAGGTGTAGTGACCTATAGTTCTGTCCTCAGCCAATAAAACTGTATAACACATCATAATGTGGCCAAATTTATACTGTATTCTATATGGATATTGCTTCTAAGTGAAGATAGTTTATTGAAAACCTAGGTTTGGATAACAGTTGGCTGACTCCTCCGTCAGTCTGGAGCACTCATAAAATCTGTTTGTCCCTGAGAGAAAAGGCCATAGGCATCTAAAATTGAGCAAGGTCAACATTTTAGAGGAGTTTTTACAGGATAAGCTATATTTTCCATCCTTAATGCTAAGACACAGAATGAAAGCTTGACTCCGGTGAAATCGACCTTATTTCACCATTGAACATCTAAAGTTTCAGAATCTTTTTCTCCATCCAGTTTAAAACGGAACAGCTTTATCCAGTCATACACAGGAGCCACTGAGTGACTCTTGCTGCAAACTCTAGACCTGAATTACATTACCAGTACACGTGTCTGAGAAGGAGATTAGACTATACTGGATTCCTTCCATATTGTCCTAATTTCTGAATAAATCCAGACAAAGCACATCCTGCTCTTACTGTAAAGGTGCTCAGGTCAGCAGATGCAGTGCTCGGGGAGGTACTGTCTGCGATGATTGAAGTTCATCGTCTGAAATACATACATGACCTCTCATCGCTTTCAAAGTGTGTTGCATGAGGTCTCCATTTAACAAATTGATATAGTTTCACCGTGTGTTGTTTTCTTGAAGCCAGAGCAAGTTGAATAGTTTGTGCCAAAATGGGCACCTTTCACATTTTTACATTAAACATGTCCAAGCTGAGGAATGAGTAGATCAGGTAGAGAAGCATTCATCCAAAATTCTAATTCGGCAAATTGTTCTTCAAATATTTTTTCTATCAAAATAATGTTTAAAATCACCTTTGATTTGTATGTAAATAGATTTGAACAGATACATTTTTACAAATGAGTTTTAAACTAATTTGACCTCTTTCAAAGATGAACTTTGGTTTTTAAGGTTTGACAACAGCAAACCGTTATTTTGTAGCAAGCGCAACAGCGGTATGATCTTACTGTCTGGACCTTTTGTTTCTGTTAAGTTTTTACTTTTTGGATTCTCAAATATGCTTTGTTTTGTTCTGTGTTGTTCCTTAGATTTACATCATTTTTGTATTCTTAGTTTTGTTGAACCCTTGTGTTCTTTCATTTCTCCTTAGCTCCTTCTAGTAACTCTGTCTACACCTGCTCCCTATTAGCTAATTATTCCTCCCATTATTTCTCTCCCCCATATATACACCTCCTGTTCAATTACTTATTGCTGGATTCTCGTCATTCCTTCAATTTATTCCTCAGTTTTTTGGTTCTTGAGTTTTCTTGTTGATCGGTTCTATGGGTTTTAAACTTTTTCTATTATTTCTTCATTAAATTTTGCAAGTAAACATCTCTGTCTCTTCTTCTCTGGATTTGGGTCCATTACAACATCCACCAATCCTGACAGACAGATTTGTCATGATCTGGCCTGTTTGCTCTCCCTTAATTAGGGATTCCTTTCACCTGTCGTTTTCCATCCCTGCCTCAGTTATAGTTTATTCCCCTCACCTGTTTCCTCTGGTTTAAATTCAGTTCTCCCTGAGCATTCAGTGCCAGATCATTTCTTGTCTCTCTGTCAGTCTGTTTGTTCAGGTTTAGTTCATGGTTCATGTGCTGGATCCTAGCAGCCAGTGGAAAGAGGGTT